ATATATATATATATATATATATATATATATATATATATATATATAATTTCTGAAAAGGGAAAAGGAAAGGTGGTTTTATTGTATTCCTGTTTGACAAATGATATTGTATCTCTTCTTAGGAAAGCAACAAGAAAAGCACTGTCCAGTCTGCAACTACAGAATTAGGAGGTTCTTATATGAGTGTAGCTAAAACACACTACTATCAAACCAAACAAAGGCCTAAGTCTGCAAACCATGACTCAGTTTCAGAATCTCTTATGGAGCTTAGAAATAATGCTTTGAAACCGATAATCCTGCATCATCCCAAAGAAGGTCTAGACAGGGTGACATCAGAAACCAGAACATGTACTTATGAACCTTCAGAAAGAAAACCAGTGGATACAACGTCAAAAGAAAAAGCTGCAACAGAAGAACTACAGATGAAGGAATGTTCACACCCTAAGCCTATTCCTTCTAGTCAGTGTTGTGTTCGTAGGCTTTCTGAAAATGAAGATCATATTTATGAAAGCCATTCCTCAAGCATGGCCCCTCAGTGTTCTAGAACACACCCAGAATCATGCAGTTATTGTGGGCATTCTTGGGAATTTCTCATGCATGCCAGAAGGGCACTGCAAACCAGTGAAATTGATGTCAAAAAGCAACTCTCAGAAGATAGAAGGCAACAACTAGTGCTTCAGAAAATAGAACTGGAAATTGAAAAGGAACGCCTTCAACATCTGTTGGCTCAGCAGGAGACAAAGCTTCTCTTAAAACAGCAGCAGCTTCAGCAGTCTCGAATGGATTACAATTGGTGAGTTCTAGCTATTAACAATGTCTGTAGGACGTAGTATAAAATAGCATATACTTTTTACCATAATAGCTATGTAGGAACAAAGGTTCTTTGGATCTTGCCTTGCTCTAGGTGCATAACACCTGTAACAGCACTGGCACCTGACATCCTCAGTGTATCTCTTAGACTCCTTTGTAGTTCATATGCCTATGTGTGTGATTTAATTTATACATTTTCTAGTTTGTTCCATTTGTCATCATGTCTGTTTTGTACAAGTATAATTATTTTTCTATTACTGTGGCTCTGTATACTAGGAAGTATTTAGTATAATTTGAAATATACAAAACACTGTTTCTAATATAGTTTCTAATCTAGTATTTTAATACTGTCAGTGTTACTCTTTCTACTCATGATTATTTTTGTCAGTCAGAGTCTTTTATGCTCCCAAGGATATTTTAGGATCGATTTTTGTATTTCTCTATAAATTACAAAAGGGCTGGGAAGGTGGCTCAGTGGTAGAGCGCTTGCCTTACATGCATGAGGCCCTGGGTTCCATTCCTCAGCACCATATAAGCAAAAAGAAAAAAAAAGAAAAAAGCCAGAAGTGGTACTGTGGCTCAAGTGGTAGAGTGCTAGCCTTGAGCTGAAGATCTGAGGGACAGCACCCAAACCCAGAGTTCAGGCCCCACGATCAGACCCAAAAAAAAAATTACAAAAACTATGATGAGTATCACATTTTTTTGTAGATTGCTTTCTGTAATATGACCATTTTTACAATATTAATTATACTCTTTCTGCTGGACCTTTCATTGAAGTATGATCCTCAGATCTTAGCTCCTTGAGTAGCTAGGATTATAGTTAGGCAAAAGACACTGGCACCTAGCTGTACCCAATTTTTAAAATAGAAAATTAAAACTGTCTCAAAAGAAATTGCATAGGAGAAAGGTCTTTAAAAGAGGTTCATTTCGCTTAGCATCCAGTTATAATATGGTTATATGTACATAGCTTTTTTTATGTACATAACTTTTGACCTCTTCTGCTTGTCCTAGATATATACTAGTTATTGCAGTATAAGAGAAACCATGGGACCTATGTTTCTTTGAGTCTGGTTTACTTCACTTAATATAATTTTTTCCAAGTCTTTCCATTTCCTAACAAATGGGGTGATGTCATTCTTTCAGATGGAGGCATAGAATTCCATTATATACATCCACCACATTTTCTTGATCCATTCAGCTACTGAGGGGCATCTGGGTTAGTTCTACATCTTAGCTATGGTGAATAATGCTGCGATAAACCTATTTGTGCTGGTAGCTTTAGTATGGCCTTGTTTGTGATTGTTTGGGTAAATACCCAAAAGTGGGATTGCTAGGTCATAGGGGAGCTCTATGTGGAGTCTTTTGAGGAACCTCCATATTGCTTTCCAAAGTGGTTGAACAAGTTTACACTCCCACCAACAATGCAGTAGGGTTCCCTTTTGGCCACATCCCCTCCAGCATCTGTTGTTGTTAGATTTCTTGATTATGGCCATTCTAACTTGGGTGAGGTGGTATCTCAATGTTGTTTTGATTTGCATTTCTTTTATGGCTAGAGAAGTTGCATTTCTTCATGTGTCTATTGGCCATTCTTATTTCCTCTTCAGAGAAGTCTCTCTTTAAGTCTTTAGCCCACTTATTAATCAGGTGATTGTTTCTTTGAGGATTTGTTGTTGGGGGA